TCCCATAGCATTTTGGGAACCTCTCTTTTGGAAAGCTATCATATTGTACTGATAACTAGAAGGGAGAGCCGAGTTTTTTTTTTCTCCCCCCCACCCTCCCTGGGGTCGTGCCTTGTGTCTCTCAACGCTGAAGAATGAGCACCGTGGACTAGAAGATTTAAACAAAAGCATAGAAAATTTATTACAAGCAGACAGACTCCCTGCATGGGGAGGGTTCCCAAAGAATAGTCTAGGGGTATATATTTGCTACAAGCCTGTTCTATATCTACCTGTGTTGCCACCTGATTGAGTCCCTTGATTGTTCTTGCCCAGCAATGGACCTGAACTTTCCCTGTTCCTGTGCCTCAGTTCACCTCATTGTTGCAGATCCTCCCTGGTTTCACATGCCTTCTGCTCTGAGTCCAAAAACATCCTATTATTTCTGCATGGTTAGTTCCTGCAATGAGGCTTGCTCAGACTGCCGTGTCTGCCCCTGCCCATGTTCCACCTGCCTTTGTTTTCCACTGGACCTGTCCTATCTGCCTGCTTGTCAAGCTAACTTTTTTAAATACCTTTTTTCCCCCCTTCTTAACCCAATGTATGCCTTCTTTAGTAGAATCAAAGCCCCATGAGGACAGGGCTATGCTTGATCTGTTCACTATAATGCCTAGAACACCCTCATAAAAATAGCAGGGACTAGATAGTCATTAGTTGGGCAGATATTTACTGAGCATCTATGTGTCCAAGCATTGTTCTTGGCGCTGAGGATACAGAAAGGGAAGAAAAAAAGATAAGGTCCCTTCCTTATAGAGCCTCCATGATAGCCAAAGTTTTGATTTAATGATAGAAGAGTATCTAATGTAGGCTCATTTCCCAGAGAGAACGAAATGCAGGAGAGATTGATTTGAGTCAAGCCACAAGGAGAATTTGAGTGGCACAGTTAGTTGTTCTTAATTTCCTCTTACATTGCTGCTTTTCAATACACATTTCACAAAGCAAAGGTGTGTGCGTGAGCTGGTTTATTCAGTCCATGAGTTCCCACAGGATGCTGAGGGCATCATGGGTTGAGAGTAGAGACAAATACGTGAAGAACAAGACACAGGTGCACAGTAGTGGGTCAGTCCAGGCAGATGGCGTTGGCGATTTTTAACCAGTTCTTTCACAGCCCCTCAGAGTGACCAGCATGCCCTCCTGTTGCTGTGAAGCCTGGGCATGCGGAGTCCAGGGAAATGAAGGCACGGCAGCCATAGCATTAGGCTTTGTCAGGACCTGCTAAGGGCTCAGTGCTGAGCAGGGAGTTGCAGGAAGGGACTAATTGGATGGTGTTGAGGAAGCAGAGGGGCTCTCAGGAGAAGGCTTTTAAGGCAAGGGGATTGTTATATTAGTGTAGGAACAGCAGAGACATAGCTCGTGAGAGCAGGAGGTGTTTGTTGAGCAATGGAAAAATGTGGGATCGGTATGGGGGACTGGGTTGGAAATGAGTCCTTGAAAATGGAAGAAATGACAATTTTCAAGAGTGAACTAGGTTTAGATTTCAGCTGATTTCTAACTAATCAAACCAGCTCCTAAATTCGGAACCAGGCTGAAACCAGTTTGGCTCAGTGGACAGAGCGTCAGCCTGCAGACTGAAGGGTCCCGGGTTCGATTCCTGTCAAGGGCATGACCAGTGGGGGGTGTGCAGGAGGCAGCTGATTGATAGTTTTCTCTCATCGATGTTTCTAACTCTCCCTTCCTCTCTGTAAATATATATATATATATATATATATATATATATATATATATATATATATATCCTAAAATATTATTTTAAAAAAATTTAGAACCAAGAAGGACCCCCATGGAACTCTGCTGGGGTTCCTACAATTGCCCTGATGACATGTGGAGTCTCTCATCATTCATGCTCACACGAGAGAAGCCGGTCTCTGGACAGGTCGTCATACGTCAGGTTACCCTGAACTGAAAACACACCCCACCCCACAAAGCTGGACAGACACATCAGTGGAAACACAGAAATCGAGCCAATGGTCACCCTCACCATTGTCACCCGAGAACCGCAGAGCCTGCGGGGTACTCTCTGTAAATCTGCGACCCGTGGAGGTCACCCTGACTCAGAAACCCCACCCATTCCACTCACAGCCTGCGAGCTGCAGAGGCAGTGAATCAGAAAGCCCCCGATCCGGAGCAACAACCGTCAACCCTTTTTTTTTTTAATTAACAGCTTTTAATGATGTGAGCAGAAATCCTTGGGCACTCTGAAGAACTGCTCTATGGAGAGCCCTCTGCTTAGACCAGCCGTCTGCCTGCCTGGCAGGGAGAGGTAGGAAAGATCCTTTAACTGTCTCTAAGCCAAACAGGGGCCCCAGGAATGAGCTGCAGCCGGTTTGGAGTGGGGCTGGGGTGTCAGGAGAAGAGAACCCAGAGAAAAGCCATGCATACAAAGCCTGTAAAGAAAAATGTTTTATTTAAAGTGTTAAATACCATCACCAGAATGAGTTTGATTTACATTAGTTGGTGTTCTTTACAGGACTAATCTGCCCTTATTTATTTATTTTTTTTATTTTCCAACTGGAATTCCCTTTAGTTTTTAAAACATACTATGTACAGGGCAGCAATGGTCACCGGGATAGTGCTATTTACATGACTAAACCACAAGTCGAGGTGCAGACATGTGAAAATTAAAAAAAGAAAAAAATACACCAACTTTTAAATAAATACTGCACAATGACGAGTTATGTACAAATAGTCCGTACAGTCCCGTCCTTCTTATTAAAATTAGAAAGAATTTATATAGGTATATACACAAAAGATTATGTGACCGCGTCTTAGTATCGGGGAAATGGTAAACGTTTAATCCTAAGGGAGAGGATAGACACTGTAGGTCTATGAAACCAATTGTTGCTGGTACACGAGTGTCTAGGTTACCTCAGTAAATCTCTACCCGTTCTCTGAACGACTTCGCCCGGGGCCATCACAGATCTCAGAACGCCAAAACACAGTCTCGATGTATTTCATATTGCACCACGTAAAGAGAAGGCATTTTTAGTGATACTCATTTTAACTTTTGCACCATAGCAAGCAGAATTTTAAATGTCACCACTGAGTTTAAAAAGAAAAAAAAAAGTTTTTGGTGCATGGCTTTAGTTTAGAGAAATTATATGGATGTGGATTTCAATAGTCATTGCAAGAAATTAAATCAACCTATAAGAATGTGTGTACAGAGTGTCCATAAAGAAACAGGAAGTCAGGGTGGTTTATTACATTAACCAGCGACTTCTCCGCTACCCAGGGGGCCTTTCAGAGAAATCTGACCTGGGAGCACCACCCAATGGCAATGGCAACCGTCTGTAAGACCAAAGGCAGGGGTCTGACTTTTGGTGATGGCATCAACGAGCTGCGAATAGGCAGACTGACTTCCTTTGAATCATCTAAAAATTGGAGCTTTAAAGTTATTTGTTGCAAATTCATGTTTGCTCTATTTATTTAGAAATACAATTCGTGAAAAATTGAATTTTACTACAGGAAAAAAAATAAACAGCCCTGTGTTCCAGGGCCCCAAAGTTTTAGCAGCGTTTCCATTCACATAGTAAATGGAAACTGGCTAAAGAAATCGCTTTAATCAATGAGAAAGCAAAACCCAAGACCTTCTAGAAAGAATGCTTTAACCCCTGAATGAATAATGCTGGTGTAAAAACAAATTTGTTGGACATGAAAATGGCCACACGATTTCAGAACCTTCCTGTAAACTAAACCTGGAAGGCGAAAGTAAAATGACCATGCACTCACTGGACAACAGATTGCAAAAGTTCGCGTATCTTCTTTATCGAATACATGCCGACTTACTTTAGTGCACTCCTAAGCCATGTTCCAAAATCCTTTCCAACATGCTTGAAATACAGAAAGCTCTTACATTTTTTTTTTCCCCTTGAAAAAATTCATACATTCAGAAGCATCTACGGCTCTGAATCAAACCTGGGGTACAAGAGAGTATCAGGTCAAAAACTGATAATTTTTTTAGAATAATTAAATAATTTATTTTCTTTCTGGCAGGGAGAAAGAAAATAAAAGATTAAAAGAGGGGTGAGGAGAAAGGTGGACAATTTGCACATTTCGAACTTCATTAGATTTGTGTAGTTGACGTGGAAAATAAACGGAATATTCATTCATTCGTCACAAAGAGAATTTTAAGTAACTTCTAGAAAGTATTTTCTTTTGTCATGTCTGCCAAAACACAGACTAGGATTAAATAATAAACATGGTGTGTCTTTGTATCACCCTGTTGCATTCTTGCCCCTTTTTGAAAACCATGCACTAGTGAAATTTATTTTTAAAAAGAATATAAATTGTTGAAAATGGCTGAGTTTTTTTGTTGTTGTTTTTTTTGCAAGTTGCAGCCCCAAGAAAATAACGTAAGTAATTCAGCTAATCTGTGTCCATGCAGAAGGGTTTTAGTGTCATTCAGTACGGTGTAGCCACAGAATGTTGTCTCTCACAGTCCAACAATCTTGGCGTGAGGGCTGCTGATGCTCTGCCTTGGACCACTGCTCGGGTCTCCTGCTTTTCACCTGGTATTTTCTAGACTTCACGCTCCTTGGCTGATCACACGGCTCAGTGGCTGTATCGCTCACGGCATCTCTGTGGCATAGGAGGGCTTGGGGGTCAGAGAAACGAAGAGAAAGGAACGGTAAAAACAGAAAGGTGCCATTGAAGAGGGCTTTTGCTTGCATGAGACGGACTGCTTCTCTGAGATTCATCCATGGCTTCAGATCGGACCGAAATCTGAGTGTCACCGAACTCCACACCTGACAGCTCTTCCCAGCGCTGCTCTCTCACCGGAGGGCCTTCTGGAGGCACAATGTGTGCGACTTCCTCTGAGAACACAGGATCGCTTGTGTATCCCTAGAAACGGGCTCAGAAGACACAACATTAAGCATGCAGTGTTACCAGGGTTAGCGACCTGTGATTTTTTTTCTTTATTTTTTTTTTTTGGAACGCTGGTTGCTAGGACAACAGTTTGACAGCTGCTAGGAACGAGAGTAAGAAGGTCCCGTTGAACTCTCCAGAGATGACTGGGACGCTCTTCTCGTCAGAGGGGCCAAGGTCGGGTCTACGAGGGAGGACGTGGGGAAGAGTTTGAACCATCCGATCACCATGTTGGACAGCTCCAGTTCGTCTAGAAGTATCTGGGCCACGCCCATGAAAGACTTGTGATCCATGCGGCCGTAGTCCCCCCACACGATGATCTGTTGGCAAGATAAAAATGAGAACGATGTTGGTACCATCGTGTTGGCAAGATAAAAATGAGAACGATGTTGGTACCATCGTGTAGGCAAACACTCATCAACTAAAACACATTCGGCTAACGTGCTGGCATCAGACATCACGTTAAACCGTTGTATTGACTCCTGGGGTGGTTGTCTTTCGCTACTAGAATCCGAAGGTGCGTTAGGAAAACGGTATGAAGTGTGAAGACCATGCATGGTCCGGGGAGATGTATCGCATTTAGCGATGGGGTTGGCTAGTCTGTACTTCCCTTTAACGTAAGGTGACCAGTCGTCCCGATTGTCAACAATTTGTCCCGAGGGAAAATTTTGGAAAATGGGGACTTCTTTAAAACGCCTCCAGACGTTGGACAGATTGTTAAAAATCGGGACTGTCCTGCCCAAAGCGGGATGTCTGGTCACCTTACTTTAAAGGAAACAACAGTGTCTGTAGCTTTGACAGCACAGGCCCCTGCTTTGAAGTTTCCCAAGCGTGTCCGCGGTGAGGGACAGGGAAGGATGCCGGCGACAAGGCCTGACTCCACGAGAGCGCCTTCTCAGGAGAGGGGTAAACAGCTCAGCGAGTACCTGTAAGACCTTTCCCTGGGGGCTTTCCTCGAAGGATAGCAGCTGCTGGTACAGGGGCTCCAGCGTTTTCCGGGCCACTTTTGTCTTCTTCTTGGCTACGCAGACTCCGTTGTCCAGGAGGTACACCTTGACGTATGGTGCTTGGGAAAGAAGAGACGGAGGAGAGTCAGGGAATACCCGACTCGTGGGTGACATCTGCAACGGGTTAACCTTGTCAGAGGAACTGGCCACCCACAGCCACCCGCCTTTCCACACGAGGTCACAATCATCAGGGAGACAGACGGTAGCCGTTGACCATTCGGGCAGTTTCAGGCAGTGACGGCAGCCCCTGATGAATGACTTGCCATCAACAGGTCACACAGATGTGCAGTAACTAAAGGTCAAATGCTTCTAGTCCCTTGCGGTATTCAAGGGAGATGTCTTCATCTTTCATTTGTCAACATTTCAATCTAATCAAACATGCATTAATCTATATTTTTTATTCATCCATCCCCATAAATCACGTATCACTTAAAGGGAGTTTTATTTGGAGAGTAAATCTGTTTAAGAAACACAAAGGGGCTGAAACCGGTTTGGCTCAGTGGTAGAGCGTCGGTCTGCGGATTGAAAGGTCCCAGGTTCGATTCCGGTCAAGGGCATGTATATTGGCTGCGGGCACATCCTCGGTAGGGGGTGTGCAAGAGGCAGCTGGTCAATGTTTCTCTCTCATTGACGTTTCCAGCTCTCTATCGCTCTCTCCTCCTCTCTGAAAAAATCAATAAAATATATTAAAAAAAAAAAAAAAGAAACACAAAGGGTTTGTTTATTCATGGTGGTGCGGGCACACAACTAGGCTGAGGTTTTGCATCGTGAGTCCAATGAGCTGGGAGGAGGAAAGGAATTCTGAATTCCGTAGCTTGGGCTGTATCTGACAGACCCTTCCTGAAAGCATGTTCATGCATGTAGAAATGGCCTCATTCTTTCCAAGGCAGAGGGCCGGCTAGTTCCAAGACCGGTATAAATACACCTGCCTCAATCACCACCGCAAGGTCGAACAGGTCATATACATTGTCACTGAGAATTTCTGCAGGGCTGGCAGAGTTAAGCGATTCAAAATCACAGCCAGCCAGCGGAGGGGCTGAGGTGAGAAACCTCGTTTCAGATTCCTCAGTGCGCAGCTGCTCTGTGCATCAGATACGGACACACCTGCCTGCCCCGTGCAGGGGTCTGAGGCACTGCCCGTGCTACATGCAACTCAGTACACACACGCCTTCAGCACGAAATATGTGGCATCGTGAAAATGAATCAGATGCCTCGTTCCCTTTAGACACTACAGGAAGTAAGTCTTACCATGAGAATGTCCTGCATACACAGGCTTAGGCTATCTGTTTTTATTCTCATTCCAGAGCCTCAAGGATTCCCGAGGAAAAATTTCGAAGCTCCAGCCCAATCGACCAATGACACAAAACGCCAGCGAATGAGAAAAAGGATCACTAATGGACACGCAGAACAAAGCGAGCCGTCTGTGTGGTAGTTTCCGTTTTGCAGCAGTTTCTACTACATACATACATACATACGTATTTAACAACATCCATCACCCCTACCAGGCCACCCTCACCGGTGCTCACTCAGAACACACACGCAAACCACTACAGATAACTGACATGTGTTAGTTAATAAAAAACAATGTGGATGGCGAGCAGTAACAGAAGCATCTCCTCTGCTCTTACCTGGCAGTGTCTTGGAACCTGGTTTGACGACAAGGCCACGGGCCCGGATGATCTCCACCTCCAACTGTCCCTTTTTGTCCATCATCCCCACCTGGATGTCACCTGGTCGCATGGGAGGGAGAGACAAACAGAACTCACCATACAGATGCAGGTAAGAAAAATGCCACGCAAAGGCCTTGGCTTAACATCATTTCCCACTTACTTTCCTAAATTCACATAGATTTCACATTTTATGAAGAGCATCTCACTTTAAAAACCATATAAATGGCCGAAACCGCTTTGGCTCAGTGGATAGAGCGTCAGCCTGCGGACTGAAGGGTCCCAGGTTCGATTCTGGTCAAGGGCATGTGCCTGGGCACATCCCCATTGGGGGGGGGGAGGGTGTGCAGGAGGCAGCTGATCGATTATTCTCTCTCATCGATGTTTCTAGCTCTCTGTCCCTCTCTCTTCCTCTCTGTGAAAAATCAATAAAATATATTTTTTTAAAAAAGCATAGAAATGAAATGGGTGGGGGGCAGAATTAGTTGAAGATGCTTTTAAATTGCTAAAATATAAAATACTTATTCCTGCTGGTAATACTGTTAAGAATCCTAGGAAATGAGCCCTAACCGGTTTGGCTCAGTAGATAGAGAGCATCAGACTGCAGACTCAAGGGTCCCAGGTTCGATTCCGGTCAGGGGCATGTACCTTGGTTGCGGGCACATCCCCAGTAGAGGTTGTGCAAGAGGCAGCTGACCCATGTTTCTCTCTTATCGATGTTTCTAATTCTCTATCCCTCTCCCTTCCTCTCTGTAAAAAAAAAAAAAAAAAAAAAAATCAATAAAATTTATATTTTTAAAAATCCTAGGAAAGGAAAGAATGCTATTCTCCACAATCTAAAAGAACAACCACAGGACAGAATCACACGACAGACATTCTTACCCATTGCAGGTGTAGCCAGGGTCTGGCGCCCCACTAACTGGGCAGGGCCAAGGCCATCCAGAAAATCGCTGAACTGGCTGTCGGAGGTCAAGCGGACACCGGGGAAGATCAGACTGAAAGCAGAGTAAGACGTGGGATTAAACCCTCAACTCGGTTTCCAACAGGCAGCCAGGTTTCCAATTGGAGCTGTGGGCAGGCTGGTTAGCCACTTGCCCTGATTGGACCGCATGGTGCTCCCTCATTCTCTAGCGGCCCCCCTGTGATCCAGGAGCACCGGTCACACTGCACTGCAGGCTTCCACGCACGTGTCTCTCTCCCCCTTGTCTGGAGAACATGGACTATGGTGTCTATTAATAGCGCTCAGGACATAGCGAACACTTACTCCGTGACTGGCATTATCATACCCGGTCATCTTAGCTGCCCTAGGAGATAGATTCCATGATTGAACCCATTTTATAGATAAACTTTTTCCCTATCACTCCTACCAGCACACAAACATGCCATTGTATCTTCCACCTTAAAAAAAGTTCCCTCCACTAACCCCACTTCCCTCTCCAGCCACCACCCCATTTCTCTCTGGAAACTTCTCCAAAGAGTTGTCTCTGTGTGCTGTCTTCGATGTCTTTCCTCTCACTCTCCCTTGAAACTCTTACCATGTTTTTTCTTGCTCTAGCTTCCCCACTCCGCTAAAATTTCTCTGATAAAGTTACCTAGTAGCCACAGAGGTATACTGAACTGCTAAACACTCTGTATTAATTAGTACTATCTAACTTAGTGTCCGTTGACACAATGGGTGCCCGTTTCTTCCTTGAAACCCGTTTCCCACTCTGTCTCCCAGACTCTCTAGTCCGGGTTTTACTTTTTGGCCACTTTACCGCAGTCTCCTTTGCTAGTTCTGCCTAAATATCGGGAGCTTGTTCCCTTAACCTCATTTCCACATCCTCATTCCCACGGTAATCTTGTCCGGTCTGGTGGTGGTAAACACCATCGATGCTGATACTGCCTAGAATGGCACCCTTAGCTTGAGACTCACCCTTGGGCCGCAGACCTGTATTCTGACCGCTTAGTCAACCTATCTGCTTGGATGTCTAATAGGCAATGAAATATAGAACTTGTCCCAAACCCCAAGCAAACAAAACACCAACTCTGTTCCCTTCAGAGGGTTCCCATCTTAACCCTCAACTTTACCCTTTCCATTAATCTCGGAGATGTCTTTCCTCTTTGTTACAGATTGAACCGTGTTTCCCCCTCCTCCTCCCAATTCATGTCCTGGAGCCTCAATCCCGACTATTAGGAGGTAGGGCCTTGAAAGAGGTAATGAGGGTTAAGTGAGGTCATAAGGGTGGGGCCTTAATCTAATATGATTGGTGTCTTTCTAAGGAGAGGGAGAGACAGCAGGGACACGCACCCACAGAGAGACCACATGAGGACGCAGTGAGGAGGAAGCCTACGGCGAGGCAAGGAGAGGGGCCTCAGGAGAAATCAACCCTGCTGACACCCTTGACCTTGGATTTCCAGCCTCCAGAACAATGAGAAAATATATTTCTGTGGTTTAAGCAACCCAGTCTGTGGTATTGTATGATGGCAGCCCTCGCAAACTTAATACACTCTTTTTCTCATGTCACATCGCCTGCATCAATATCACTGGCTCTATCATCAAAATCCATCTGGAATCTGACCCCAGGAAGCTACCACTCGGGCCCAGGCCCTCATCTTCTAGCTTCCCTGTTGCCACCTTTGCTCGCCACCCCCCACAGCAGGCAGAGTGATGGCTGACGTCAGAGTGATGTCTGCTCAAAACCCTCTACAGACTTCTCATCCCTCAGAGTAAAAGCAAAGTCCTTCCAATGAAATGTACAGACCACACAAACTGTCCACCCCTGCTCACCGTATCTCACTTACCACCTCTGCCCTTACTCGGTGCTGACGCCTCCCAAGCTCCTGCCGCGGGGCCCCAGCATCCCTTCAGCATAGAATGTTCCTACCTCAAATATCCGTGCCTTCATGGGTACTAGGCATGCAGCAGAGTTCTTTCCTTTGCAGTCATGACCCTCAGAGCAAAGTTTTTTTTTGTTTTTTTTGTTTTTAAAGCTAGCACTGTTCACACAGGAGTGGCATGAGTGCTTCCTATTTTTGTGCGTGAGGTGCATTGTGTCAGCCTAGGGCAGGTGTTTAATTGCATGCACGGTAAGAGTCCCCGTTTAGCATCTTGCCATGGAAGCCCAACATTTTATCCCCAGACCTAGGTCCCTGATATAAAAAGCCAGGTCTGCCCGTGGCAGGTGAGCCACGCTGTCTCCATAGCCAATAGCTGCACACCCAGACGGCCCTGCGGAGTGCGTGTGTGTTGGGGGGCGCTGTTGGTGACGGCGGAGGGAGCGGCCCAGAGGCTGTGCCCGCGGCCCGCCGGCCTCACTCACTTGCCCTCGGAGCTGTAGCTGTTCATGCTGCCGTCCGTGGACTCCCGGCTCGCCTGGCGCGTCATCCAGTTCCGCATCTCCACGGCCAGGCCCGTCTCCGTGCTCCGCTGCACCGTGCTCCGCAGCTTCTTGCCGCCGGCCTCTGCACAGACAGAGAAGGAGAGGGGTGACGGCTGGGCCATCGCCACCTGCTGAGAAGTGGCATCGGCCAGCGCCCCGAGGTCCTCGGAGGAGGAGAGCCGCCAACACCGAGGGCTCTCACTCAGGAAACAGGGAGAAAAGGTGTTTCACTCAACGCCTGGCTGAGTGGGATGAACGTTTTCTAAACATCTTCAAAGCACAAAACGCCATTGTTTCAGTTCCATTTAAAACAGTGTTCAAACTGGGAACGAAAGAAACAAAGAGTTTCAACCTGAGGGAAGTACAATGAGCTTCGTTTTTATTGTAATATCTAAATGCAAGATTGACTTATACCCGTCTCTTTTTCCTTGCTCTCTGGCACAGTAAGAGAACCAGGCCTTCCCGTGATTTTCCAAAGAGCAGGTGGTGAGGAATACTCCATGCCAGCCTTAGCTTGATGTTTTAAATAATTGAAATGAACATGTTGTACTGATAGGAACATGGAACCCTGCGCTGTGCAGGATGATGGATGTTAGAAAGCAAGGAAAGCTACCCCAGAGAGAGGGCCTTGTGTGCTCAGAGTCCCCCGTCTGTTGGTAACTTTCAGAGAGATTCCCAAAGGAATACAGAAACCCAGCGATGCCCGGGAAAAAGAGCTTTTTTAATAGGTGGTCCTGGGTAAGTCATGTCCTTGAGGATCTTGGGCAGTGTGGGTCAGCTTGGATATGAGGTTTACGCAGAGAAGCCAATGAGAAGAGCGAATCTGAGACAGAGCCAAGTGCCACAGATGGGAGAGGTGAGAGGTGGGAAGCGCTCTCCGAGAGGTTGGGGAGGAAGGAGCGTCCTCAGGGAGCGCGTGGGATTGGAGCTGAGCTTGCGAAATGGGCAGACAGGGGCCGAAGAAGCAGCAAGAAGACAGGAGGAGGAAAGATGTCAAAGGGCCTTGCATGCTGGCGTTGGGAGACCACCAAAGCTGGGACAGCAGGGTGACCAGTCCAAATGACCTGTAATCCTTGACTCCTTGTCAGGTCTAACTATCATCGGCATGGACCATGCGTATCATTAGCATTCTGGGGATTCAATAAGCTCTTTTGGTGCCTGATATTAACAATTTCATTTTAGATCAACACATTATTTGCCGATATTGCCGGTGACTTGATGAAATTCCTTTCACCAAACCTCTCATCCGTTCACCATTGGAAACACTGCTTTAAATTTTATCTGTTCTCTGCTTTCACCTTTGACGTACATCAAAATGCTTTAAAAAGTATACATAAAATAACAGTTATGACTCATTTCCAGCTCAGTTGATATTTTAATTAATAATAAACATGTTGTACTTTAAATTGATATTTTAAATAATTGATAATAAACATGTACTGATATTTTAAATAATTGATAATAAACATGTTGTACTGATATTAACTTAAGATGATACAAAGTATCTGCCGTTGATGGGAGAAAGCTCTTCTTTACAGAGGAATGTTAGTTAAGGAATGTAAAAGGAGCCCGGCTGGTGTGGCTCAATAGTTGAGCATCAACTTATTATCCAGGAGGTCACGATTCCATGCCCAGTTGCAGGCTTAGTCCTCAGTAGGGGGCATGCAGGAGGCAGCTGATCAATGATTCTCTCTCACCATTTGTGTTACTATCTCTCTCTCCCTCTCCCTTCCTCTCTGAAATCAACTATATATGAAATGTGAAAGAAATACATTTTAAAATTACCAATCTGTAACCTCCAATGGAGTGAATAATTCAAATAAGGCACACTGATGAATGCTAACATCACTAACTATTCATACGAGCCACACAAAAAAATCTTTCCACGAATTAGTTCTGCTTGTTCAAGGAAAACATGTGAACACTGGGAGACCTGGCTATCGCCACTGTAATCAAGTGGTCAAACTTAGCAGCACTAACAGCAGAACAATCATAAGTGCTTCCTGATACAACCTACACGATATTACCTATGGAGTTCTCCAGAACAAAAATACACAGCCTGCTTCTTATCAGATCTTTGGAACCAACTTCTAGTTTTCAAAATTACAGAAGATAGGGTAAAAAGATAAATGACAATAAAAAATAAAAAAAAGTCAGACAACCCAGAACATGGGATTTCATTCAAGAGAATTGGCCTAATCTCTTAAAATAGCTAATATCAATGAAAATAAACTAACAAGGTTGAATAAATTGTTCCAGATTTTAAAAAATATCAGAGATATAACTATTAAAAGCTGTGAGTGATGGCTTTAATTTTTTTTTTTTTGGGGGGGGGAGTAAATAAAAAACAAGAAACCATAAAAGCAAAACACTTAAAAGCAATTTTAGCACAAGTAGGGAAAATTTGAGTATAAACTGGCTATTAAAAGATATAAGGAAATTATTAATTTCCTAGGTAGATAATGGCATGTCTTATAAAAAAATGTCCTTATTACAAGAAATATTTATACCCAAAATGTTATATAACCTGCAATTTATTTTAAAATGGTATAGTGAAAAATACATATAAGAGGTTAAAGTGTTTAAAATAAAAGGATGGGGAGGAAAAATAGATCTCGGAATTCATCAATTTAATATGTATGACTTTAGCCGAAATCAGCTTGGCTCAGTGGATAGAACCTGCGGACTGAAAGGTCCCATGTTCAATTCCGGTCAGGGGCATGTGCCTTGGTTGAGGGCACATCCCCAATGGGGGTTGTGCAGGAGGCAGCTGATCAATGTTTCTCTCTCATCGATGTTTCTAACTCACTCTCTCCCTTCCTCTCTAAAAAATCAATTAAAATATATTTAAAAAATAAAATAATATGTATGACTTTATTTAGAGCAATTCCCTAATATCTAACATCAAAAAGCAATAACATTTGTCCAGGTGTGAACTGGAATCATGGAAGGTCCTGGGCTGGCGTGAGGGAGCCGGGAGTCCTGGCCTCTGCCTGTAGCTTCCCTGCTCACTTCCTGCGAACAATGCCCTGTTAGCCACCACCATCAAGTGAGGCCTACAACTCCCGCTGAGTTTGAAAATGTGGAATGACGGTATGTACAGCAAACACGACTTTCAAAGCAATGAGATTCCTAAAGGTCTCAGGACAAAGCCCTGGCAGTGGCAAAGATGATTGTGTTACGTGTGATGTCTGATACATGCGGTCATGTATGATGTCTGATACATGGGCATGCGGTCCTCTGGTTTACAGACTGCTGTTGACATGCATCCTCTTCGGGACAATTCTAGAGATCCCGCCTTCCACATACAGCAACCGAGTCCCCAGAGGGTCACACAGATCCCTGCAACCACATAGAGAATGGCAGGGCCCGAGTGCGTGCCCAGGTCCCAGACTCCAATTCTCTGCTAATCATGGACTGGCTGTCAGATAACCACCAGGTGGCCTGTGCAGCTGACAAGGGAGCCAGCACTAAGCTAACTCTGTGCTGTGTGAGAGGCCCTGTCCCAGCAGCTGGTGGGGGAGGAGCAGAGCACAGTGATGAGGTCAGGTCCTGGTGTCCCACTGTCTCTCCCGCTGTGTACCAGCTGGGTGATGCTGACTAAGTTACCCTCCCAGGCCTCAGTTTTCTCACACTGAAATGGCGCTGGCAATAATGATGTCTACCTCACAGAGTTCTTGTGAGGATTAAAGAAAACAATATATTTAAAGTGCTTGGGGTAGTATCTGTTATATAGAAATTCTTCAATTAATGACACTGTTATTACTACCAGGTAGGGAATCAAGTTAACATGTATTCGAGGCCAATCTCTACCACTAATGAGCTGGCCCTGTGGCCTTCTCTGAGGCTCTGGTTCCTCATTTACAGAAAAGGGAGGGGAGGATGACAGAGGATCTCTGGTCTCTTAGCTCTCAAGTCTCCTAGTTTGCATCGTTAGTGTACGACCAAGACCATGGTTAGTAGCATGCACTGGGGGAGATAATGCTACTCCTTGTCAACTGGTGGAATCAAAGAATTCTAGGCAATATGCTGGGCTTTTGTAAGAGCTCCTTAAAATATGTCTTTTAAATGTATTTCTATCTGATACATATATAGACTTATTTTAAAAAGGAAATGTGTTTTTCGGTACCACAAATCCTTTGCATCACGTTCATAATAAAAGTAATTTAAACTAAATATAACTCATTTAGTGTTCCAGATGCTCTGTCATGCTCTTCAACCTGAAAACTGAACCTATAGAACACCGAAGGTTCGATGTTGAGTGAGCATGGCAGGCAGAATTCTGAGAGCCCCCCCGTGATTATGCTACTTTGCACGGCAAAAGGGATTTTGCAGATGTGATTAAGGTTACTAATTGGTTAACCTGATGATACGGACATGATCTGTGTGGGCCTAATACATACACAGGAGACCTTTAAAAGCAGAGGGCTTTCTCTGGGAAGTTCCGGAAAGGTCAATTGGGAAGATCCGAAACACAAGAAGGATTCATTCAGTGTACACTTACTACTGACTTGAAGATGGAGGGGACTCTGTGGAAAGGACCCCAGAGCAGCCCCCAGCTGCCGACCGCAAGGAAACAGGGGAGCTGGGTGGCCCTGGAAGCAGGTTTTCCCCCAGAGCCTCCAGGCAAGAGCTCAGCCCAGCCACCACCTTGACTTTAGTCACGTGGTACACTGAGCAGAAAACCCAGGTATGCTGTGTGTGACCCACAGAACCATGCATAATGAGTGAGCGTTTCTTTAAGCTGCTAATTTTTTTAATTAAGGTATTATATGTGTACATATCTTACCATTGCCCCCTCCCCATTCATGCCCTCCCTCCCTATAGTTTTGTGTCCATTGGTTATGCTTATATGCATGCATACAAGTCCTTCAGTTGATCTCTTTAAGCTGCTTAATTTTTGGTAATCAGCAATAAGTACTTTTTAAAGATAATTATTAATGGAGAGATCTATGAAAATAATTTATTATAACCATAGGAGTGGACCACCTAAAATTATTTGTAAGAGCTCAATAGCCACGATAAAAAAGTGTATATATGTTTTTAAAAGTATATATACATACATATCTTACCTATCTATAA